GTAAGCAGCGGAGGGAGGAAGGGAGAAAGACATATTCTGAACCATGTTTCATCACATGTGAAATCATGCAGTTACTGTAGTTATTCTATTTGTGGGTTTGTGTGTGTGTGGTGGGGGGGTTGTTTTATTTTGTTTGTTTTCAAGTGCTTACTCCTGCAACACTTTACTTGATTTGAAGGGAGTTCCTGATCTTATGGGAAGTTCACTGAGGTACCTTGAGAGGCTAAAGAAATAAGAGTGAGGCAAGTATAGGGAGAAGCAGAAAAGTTTTAAAAAAAAAAAAAAAGCAAACAAAAATGGAAATAGAATAATTCATGGTCTAGAAGTGCAGTAAGAACAGAGCTGTAGTGCTGTCTTGTTCTCTGTGCAGAACTCTTGATTACAGCAGGAAGATGAACATTGGACTGAGGCCAGACTGCCAGTGTGAATTGAAGCGACTGGGAGATAGCATAAATGAATATTGGACATAGCACCATAAGCTTTTTAAATCTTGTGTTCCCTTTGCATGGACATGCTATTAAATTATTGTGTGGGGTTTTTTTTCTGCTACTGTATGCATAGATAAGCAACAATGATGCATATTTCTCCTCCACATCACTGTAAAACAGAACAAATCTGTACGATAGCATACCTTACAGATCCTTTTGTATGCTGTAATGTTCTTAGTACAGTACTACTGGAAATAATGACATGTACATATTCTCTCTTTGTTCTACCAATAATAGTATCCCTTATGAATATAAAGAAGCAGAGGGAATGTAGTATCTTTTTAATAAAATTTCTCTTTGAATACTATGAAAATATAAAGCTGAATGAAATGAGTAATAGTATTCAGTAAATACATAAAGTATTTTATTTTTTTTTTGCTTTTGGAACAGATTAAAACTTGTGAATTGGATTGAATTGCATGTAGTTATGTAATCCCTAGCAATTAAAATGGACTTTTAAAAGGTTTGAGAAAGGTCTTCTACTTGTCCTGTTATCTGTGCTATTTTTGATCCCTCTGCAAGGCCCCCTGTCCCTTCAGGCAGTTGACGGTTCTTTCCAGTTGAGTATCATCAGCAAGCTTGCTAACTTTGCATTGAATTCTTGCATTCAGATCATTCATAAAAATGTTGAACAGAACCTGCTGTAGGATTGAGCCTTGGGGAATGTGTCTGAAATGCATCTGAGAATGCAAGGAAGGTAAAAGCTAGATTTCAAAAAGCGAGACTTAAAAAAGGAGTAGAAAAATATGTCCAGGTCCTACCAATACAAAGCAACGTAACATTTTTGAGGAAATCTCGTGATTGAATTTTGCAAAATGATTGTGCCTGGCATTAAATGTGACGGAAGAAGGAAGGTCTCTAGATGTTTCTAATCATAAGAAATCATATCTACGATCTCTCTCCTTTTATGGCATTGTACATGTCCTTGTGACTAAATGATGATAGGGGCTTGATCTGCCTTTGATATATTCTTGTCAAATTGCAGAAAAATCTGTATTTTGGTATTGGAAGTAAACTATAGAATGTATTTAAATAGCACACCAGAGCATCACAATTTTGGACTGGTCTTACGATGATGCCAGCTTATGTCTTAGTGGAACATTGGCTGACATTAGGAACACATAATGTCTTTCATTATATACCAACTATAGAATTTGAAGCATTGTGATTTTTCAAAAATTGGTTGGCTGTAGCTGTCATTTTTGTGTTTCACAGTACTTCTGTCAAGGCCATTGAGTCCTTTAATATTTATTTGGTTGATCCTTAAGTCTCCCTTTTACAGCTGTATGTCACCCTACTGAAATGAATGAGATGAAGGGTATGCACTAATTGATGTTTCAGTAGAGACAGAGGTAATATGAATAATCTAGCTTCTGCCATGAGGGACCTGAAGGGGAACAGCCTGTAGGTTTGTTTGGACTATGGGAAAGGAGTGGGCCTGGGCAATGACAAATGTGCCTAACCCACTTGCTGCACCATTCAGTTTGTCTCCATGTGCCAACACCTTAATGCGAGTGGCTGGAGTGAGTGCTGCTCTTCTTTCATTCTCACTGCAAGTCCCAAGTCCTTCTTTTGTTTATCTTGCACTAAGGACAAGTGCCTGCAATTGTAGCTGTACTACCAGATATAGCCAAGCTGCATTTTCATGGTATCGGTCCCAGTGTAGATTTTCCAGATGGGTAAGGAATATCTGCTTTGTACACTGCAGGTGTTGCAGGCTGGGGGAAGAGGGAGCAAAGATCTGGCACCTTCAGCAGAAGTGTCAAAATGCTATTTTAGGTCTCATCTACAAATACACGATGTTGTCCTATTCACGAAGTAGGACCTCCTCCTCTGTGTACGTACAGGATTAGGGGTAAATGTTAAATTGGCTTCGTTGGCAAGAGCCTGCGGCTGCTGGGCAGTGGGAATCGCTCTCTAATTTGCTTGCGGTAAACGCGTTAGGAGGACAGAGATGTGGCCAGGTTTGTGATCTTTCTCAGACGCTCAATTTGCCTTTGTTTTTGCACTTCCTAGCCACCTTGACATGACAACCCGCAAACGAGCAAAACTAACAGAGAACAAAAGCCACAAAAGCCCAAAGGAAAAAGATAAAATAAAATAAAGAAACAATAACAACCAGAAATCAAAGCCAGGAACATCGCTTTGGGCACGGAGATTTTCTGTGCGTTATTCAGCGCTGAAACATTAATCACCGTCATTAACACGCCGATCCAGCGCCGCCGCCGCCGGACCGGGCGCAGTGCGGGGCGCGGCCGCGAGGGGCCGACGGCGGGCCGGGAGCGGGGCGATGGAACGGCCGCGGCCCCACGGCTGCCCCCGGCGGCGCGCAGGCTCGGCGGGCGGCGCCTCCGCGGAGCAACAGGGCTCGAGCCGGCGGCAGCGCAGCGAAGGGCTGCGCGGCTTCCGCGGTTGCCGGCTGCCGTTTTGCAAATCGGGCGACGGGAGCCTGATGGCAGAGAGCTGCTTTTTCCTCGGGTGGTTTTCCTTTTATTATTATTATTATTTTAAATTGTTATTTTGATGGTTTCTGTAAGCGTTACCAAAAGACCGCACAACAAGTGAACGATGCAGGCAGCTGCTGGCTGAGCTGCTGCCGTTTGGATGTGACGGGGAGAAACAGCAAGAAGCAACACTCGTCCTCCCATCAGTGGAAATAGGCTTGGTACACGGATTACTTAACGTTGATTTACAAATCTACAGCAGGAGCTGGGCTCGGGAAGCCTAGTGATCACACTCACCCATTCATTCCTTTTCTCTCTCACACACACGAACACGCTCACCTCTTCCCCACCCCACCCCCCCTTTTTTTTCCCCCCTTTTGGAACAAGGCTGTTGCTTATTGCCTTTTTGCAAATGCCTGGGTGAGGTGCTGCGGTTGTGCAGAGTGCCCCCAGCTTCAGCTGCCTCTTTGGCTCGTTCTTGGCGCTCTTGTTGCACAGGGAAGGCAGGGAGAAAAATAACTCGTCAACCTGTGGTGCCGACTGACCTACCCACCTGCAGGCGTGGGTCAGTTGGCGCAGCCCCCTGCTCAGGACTGCTGTCACCAGATCCTTACGCTGGCAAGAACAGCACTGCTATTTCTCTGCCTATGAACAGTAAGTATAACGGCAATCCTAAGACCCTTTTTGCATGTCGTATAGGTATGATTTTAAAAATAGCAGTTGTTATTTGTCTGTATTCACCTTCTGTGATATATAAATAGATACAGCGGTAGATGAGGCTTCTGTTTCAAAGGGGTGTGCGTATGTGAATTCTTGTATGTGTTTGCATGTAGATGTTGCTTCAGTGCACCTGCAGTAGTTCGACACACCATATCATGGTGTTTTCACTTGAGTGAGCACTGTACCTGCCTGTTTCCAAATTAAATTCAGTAAGATGTTTGTCACGGTTGAAAATTCAATTAAAACGTAGCTTTCTTAATTCTGGTGTTTTTAGAAATAATATGAAAAGCTCTTTGTGTAGATGCATTTCTTATAACACTTCATGTAGCTATATGTAGGTGTACCTATTACGTATGCACTCAAAGATCTGAATGCATAGGGTGTTGCAGTATTTTATTGGTGTTTATATGTGTTGGTGTTTCAGAAGCATGCATGTGTTTGTGTATGGATGCAAGTGCTTGTATGGGTGGGGATTTTGTATCTCTGTCTATATATATATGACATACCCACCCACATCCTTATGAGCAGAGTCGTTCACATTCTCTGTGCATGTGATGTGGGTGTGTGTGTAATGTAGAAGTGTGAATAGTGTGGGAAGGGGAAGCTTAGAATACTGTGGTAATAGATGACACAGTTTCATTTGATCAGTGTGACCTTTTAGGAAAACAATCCAATCTTTTCCCTTTTTGTTTTGTTTATTTTTGTGTGTTTGTGCATGTGCCTCAGGTTAAGTGCTTCTTCTGCATGACCATAACCAAAGGGTGACCCATCCACTCCCTTATGTCCTATGGGGACCTCAGAACCAATTTCTCAGTCTTCATCTCCTCCTCCTCCTCTTACCACTGCTGCTGACGCCCTGGGTGCTGCTCCCAGGTTTGAAACGTTGTTGACAGGCTGAAGAAAGGATTTGCAAAGACCTCCTCACTGTGTAAAGAGAGTGATGGCTGGAATTAGTTTCAACTCCCCAAATAATGATATTAAACAATAATAAGATTGCTAGGCCAAAGCATTATCAGGAACAAATTATGAGGAAAGAGACTATTTGCATTTGGTTGCAGTGATGAACTAAAATCATTTATGGAGAGCAGGTACCCTTTGTTTTGCATGTGTTTGTCTTCATGAATGTAGTCGTGAATCTGATCAGATCAGTGGTAGATATGGGAAATAAATGAAAATAAAAGGGCTTAGTGGATGAAAGAATAAAGCCTCTGCTGTTCCTTGGTCTAGTTTGAGAGTTTCATCTTTTCTTATTAGCAAAACAATAGATGTTTTTGTTTTTCCCCCCCACGCCCCCAAACGTTTTAGACAGTAAGAAAATGCAGATCTGTGGTCTCCCAAAAGATAGATTCAGTGTTGCAATTATGTTGCCTCGCTCTGTGTCCAGTGCACAGTCCTCCAATGCAAATGGCTTTAAACTTTCTATGATGAAAGTTAAGGTTGCACCTTAAATAAAACAAAAGCTTTTGCACTAGACAACAAAAAAGCAGTTGCAAAATGGAGGTTGCAATGGTGAGTGCAGATAGCTCTGGGTGCAACAGCCATATGCCCTATGGATATGCGGTCCAAGCTCGGGCCCGAGAGAGAGAGCGGCTGGCACAGTCAAGAGCTGCAGCAGCTGCAGCTGTAGCAGCAGCAACTGCAGCAGTAGAAGGGGGGGCAACAGGTGGAGGTGGACCGTATCACCACTATCACCAGGAGCAGAGTCGAGGTGCTTCTTCCTCGCATGGTGGGAATGCACCGCGCAGCAGCCTGCCCAACCGCCACAGTGGTAAGAGATGGAAGAAAGGGAAAAAGAGGAGCCACCACTTGGGAAGCAGGGAGTGTGGAGCCTCCTTCCCCTGTTCTGAGCTGCTTCCTCTCAGTGGTTCTGAAGAGAGAATACTGAAGGACGTGAGTGAGGAGGAAGAGGAGGATGAAGATGAGGATGAAGACGATGAGGAAGAAGGAAAACTCTACTACAGTGCTGACTATGGGGAGGATGAGTTTTCATACTCAGACCAGCCACCTGATGATGGTGGAGGCCCCGGGGGTTACAGCTCTGTTCGCTACAGTGAGTACGAGTGTTGTGAGCGTGTGGTGATCAATGTGTCAGGACTGCGGTTTGAAACACAACTGAAGACACTGGCTCAGTTCCCGGAGACACTGTTGGGTGATCCAGCGAAGCGAGGCAGATACTTTGACCCTCTCAGAAACGAATACTTCTTTGATAGGAACCGGCCCAGCTTTGATGCCATACTGTACTACTACCAGAGTGGTGGTCGGCTGAAGAGGCCAGTCAATGTACCCTTTGACATCTTCAGTGAGGAGGTGAAATTCTACCAACTTGGGGAGGAAGCCATGCTCAAGTTTAGGGAAGATGAAGGGTTTGTCAAAGAGGAAGAGGACAAAGTTTTGCCGGAGAATGAGTTTAAGAGGCAGGTCTGGCTACTGTTTGAGTACCCAGAGAGCTCCAGTCCAGCCAGAGGCATTGCCATTGTCTCTGTCTTAGTCATCTTGATCTCCATTGTCATCTTTTGTCTGGAGACTTTGCCGGAGTTCAGAGATGACAAAGAATTCATAATGTCCCTGAGCTCAGGGAAGGGTCTTTCCAATGAGTCGCTTCACTTGGACGCTGGGGAGCACACCATCTTCAATGACCCTTTTTTCATTGTAGAGACAGTATGCATCATTTGGTTCTCCTTTGAGTTTACAGTGCGCTGCTTTGCATGTCCAAGCAAAGCACACTTCCTCAAGAACATCATGAACATCATAGACATTGTCTCCATCTTGCCTTATTTCATTACTCTGGGCACTGACTTGGCGCAGGAGCAGGGCAGTAATGGTCAACAGGCCATGTCTTTTGCCATCCTGAGGATCATCCGTCTGGTCAGAGTGTTTCGCATCTTCAAGCTTTCCAGGCACTCCAAGGGTTTGCAGATCCTGGGTCACACACTCAGAGCAAGCATGAGGGAACTCGGCCTCCTCATTTTTTTCCTTTTTATTGGAGTAATTTTGTTTTCCAGTGCTGTTTACTTCGCAGAAGCTGATGAGCCTGCCACCCATTTTCAGAGCATCCCAGATGCTTTTTGGTGGGCTGTGGTGACCATGACTACAGTTGGTTATGGGGACATGAAACCCATAACTGTGGGTGGGAAAATAGTTGGGTCCCTGTGTGCCATCGCGGGAGTGTTAACCATTGCTTTACCAGTGCCAGTGATTGTCTCCAATTTTAACTATTTCTACCACAGAGAGACTGAGAATGAAGAACAAACGCAGCTGATGCAAAATGCAGTCAGTTGCCCTTACCTCCCAACAAATTTACTGAAGAAATTTAGAAGCTCATCATCTTCATCCACAGAGGATAAATCGGAGTATTTGGAGATGGAAGAAGGAGTTAAAGAATCTCTTTGTGTAAAGGAGAAAAAAAGTCAGGACATGGGGAATAGCAGTGAGTCAGAGAAGAAAAACTGTGCGAATTCAAATTCTGTGGAAACTGATGTGTAATTTCCAAATATATTTATTTTATGTTTCCAAATATATTTATGCATTAAAGAGTGCAGTGGAAATAATGAAATATGCAAATGAGTCCACAGCATACAGTAGTATGCCATTTAATGGTTAAATAAAGTAAAAAAAAAAAACATTGTTAAACTTGTATAACATATCAAGTAAGTGATAGAACTTGAGGAAGGGGTTGCTAGATCTGATGTAACTTCAGACTGTATTTTTTTTTAGAATGCAAGTGTTTTGCACATGAGGCTGAAAAATTTATTAAAACCAAGTCAGTTTTAAAGTGAGTGCATGAACTGTCGACATCACTAATAACAGCTCTGTGGTAAAAGTTGGCATTCAGAGGTATTTACTATGTAAGAAGCAATGAACTTTGGAAGTCATTTATCTATTTATCAGTGCTTTAATAGCAGCTACCATAAATCATTGGATACCATAGTCTTGTTTTTCAAATGGTAAATTTATTGTATAAAGATATTCTACAGAAGATAGATCTAATTTTTTTTTTTTTTTTCTTGGAACCTATAGTGCTTGTTTTTAACTGGAAATTTACTTTGAGAAGGCTGCTGAACCTCCAGAAATGATTTATTTTTATAACTCTCTTTGGAGGCATTGCAGCATTTGTTGTCTAATAACGAAAGAAATGAAATAAGAGAATTGTTTAGCTGGTCTGACTGCAAAGGCAAAATGACTGGAATGCTTTTTTGCACTACTTTATATGCTGGAGTTATATTGAAAGAGACTTCATACTGTGAATGTTTACTAATGTAATAGTTCAATGACAATCATTGGAAGAGTGAATTCTGCATCATATTTTATTGCCTTCTTTTGTTTGTTTGTTTGTTTCATTTTGTTTTTCCTTTATGTGATGCTGATGGCAAAACAGCTTACATTACATCAATTCCGTACTCTTTTAATTATGAATATCTGTGATCTGGAAAAGGATTGTGAAGTAAAATTTTATAATCAAAATTATTTGAAATCAGTGTTTTCTAGTGATACTCTCAAGTAATATGAACTTAATATATATATTTTTTCCAGGTTAATTTAACATTGAGAGTTAATGTTTAATACATGCACTCTGCCAGTATTGAAGTAATTCAATGTATAGGGAGAAGAGGTAAAAGTAATAATGTACTCAGTTGTTACAGTACTAACAATTCAAAGTTACTAACAGTTAACATGTTATTGGTGCTACATTATTTTTCCCTTAGTTACAGCTTCCAAGTTGGAAGCAAAATATAGAATCCAAAACAGGCATTTTGGGATTCAAAATGATTGCATTGGGTCCTATGTAGTCCTTGGGTAAACATTCCATGATTTCCTTTCACTGATTCTTAGACCAGCTGTATCTTTGTGTCAAAAATTTCCACTGTCCTTTCTGGGAGATTAAGGTAGGTAAAGATTACCTGACCTACAGCACATTCCAGACACCAGAATTAAATAGGTAAGATATTCCTGCATTTAACATAAATAATAGATTTAGAACAGGTGTTTTTTCAGACTCGCCATTACCTAGGGGGGTAATTGGAGCTGTTTTTGGGAAAGCACTGTGGAACATTCCAAATTATGGAACTTGAACCAACTTGGCATATGCACTTTAAGGACATTGTGAGAGAAAAGAGTGCTTACAAACACTACTGAGTTACAGTAGTTCTGTGATAGTCCTTTAAAGCTGAGGAGGGAGTTTGCTGGAGGGAACTAGTTAGTGACTTATGGTTCTGGGGCTGAAAAGCAAAAATAAAACCTGTCCAAATTGGGTAGCCGTGATGGTATGCATAATCTACCAGATAGGCATTGTTTGCTGTGTGCAGCATCCAGTGATACAGAACAAAGCCATAGCCAAAGGATTTTACTTAATGATTGATTTTTGGCCTTCATGGATTTTCTGTGAATCATATTTTGGAAGACTTCATCTGCTAGTCTTCTATTGCACAGCAGAAGTCATAGCAAAAAAAAAAAAAAAAAAAAAAAAAAAAAGCTCAGAAAAGACTGCGTTGTACTGAGCCCTGATTTAAAACTTGTATGTGAATATCCAATTCATAATCTCAAATTGCAGAGAAGGCTTCACTCTATTTCTGATGTGAGGCATTAAAAAAGGCTCCTTTTTAATACAAGAATATGAATTTCAATCATGTTTTGAATCAAACACTTCAGTCATTTTATGTATAGGTGTTTGTCAGAATTAAATATTGCATTTATTTCTTGGCTCACCTGGGTAAATGAACTAAATGTTTTTTTCCTATGAGGGCAATATTAGCAACAAGGGTGAGCGTTCTGTAAAGTTCAGCAGACATCTGTAAGTGAATGTTTCTTCAACAGCTTTAACTGTTAATAAGGTAAAGAACATAAGGGTTCAATTGTATGCTAGTTTGCTAGTGGTTCTGTGCAGTACCAGCCACCATATAATACCAGAGAAGGACCGTAGCAAGAATGTAGAAATAAAGGAAATAATAACTAGGCAAATAATGAACTTAGAAAAAGTAATTAGTATGTATTTGTGGTATTGACGGGCTGAAAGGAAAGGTGGTTAATAAGAGGGGGAATTTTTTTTTATGTCTATTAGAAATAAGAAAGAAAGCTTTTTGAATAACTCCTAGAATATGTTCACTCAGAGGAGGTGGAGCTCAGCATGAGGTATCTGCGTAAGTTGTTACCCAGCTTCTCCAGCAAGTCGTGCAGGTATTATGCTACCAATACACAATCTTGTAATTTAAAGCAAGCGTGGTGTTGTCTACATTATGCTATGATCATAGCAATACCTTATCTCTGAAAGGAAATTCTTGCTGGAGGACGTTTTAGCAGAGCAGCATTCTGGGTGTGTCAGCACTGCATACTGCGGTACTGTGGAGACCAGTCCTAATAACAGTGGAGCCTGCTCTGCCTCCTGCCATGTATAAGCCTCTGTGCTTGTAACTGTCATTATAAATAAGAGCTAGCATCTCCTGATATTAGATTGTACTATCAGTTTGGCAGACCATTCTGAATCACAGAAAGGATTGCGCATTTCAGAATGGAAGCAAATACCTTCATTTGGGCTGGCTTTTAGTTTGATTATTCATCTGTTCACTAGACCACGCACTTACAACACAGCTTGAAAAAGCCAAAGTCCTATCCCTACCATGCTAAAACCCAAAGATCCCAAGTGCTTAACAAGAAACCAGAATTTCTCTTGAGTATCACTTAGATGGGAATTTGTGCCAGAGAAACCCTGTATTTGAGCTGTTTCTGCTCCAGAATGCTATTGCTCCTTGCCCAGTGGTACTGGATACCAACGACTATCAGAAAAATAATGTTGTAATCACTTGGGCATTTTGCATTTTAAATTATAGTGGTGAAATGCATTCCTGATGTAACTGACGTGAATGGAGTTACACTAGGGAACATTTTAGTTCTGATAATGTAGTTCAAATGATTTCACATTGACATACATTTTAGCTAAAAATAATGCAAAATGAGATTCTGATATTTCATGCTCACTTGCAGTGGTGAAAAAATGTGGAGGAGGCTCCACTGGAGTTCATGAAATCACAGCAGCATCCAATCAGATTTCTGATACTGATATTTAATTATCTACCAGCCCTTAATTAAAAAATACATATATATATATTTATATATGTGAATCTTTTTATAGCAGTCTTAAGTGCCAAGGCGAGGCTCTGAAGGAGTGTTTTGCCAGCTGAAGTATTAAACTAAAGGCATGATGTCAGAGATAGGTTTTTTTGTTTTCATTTATTACAGTGATCAAGTTTTCTGATACTGCATTTTTTACTTGAAAACTTCAACCTAGCTACTGAAATTTGTACTGAAACAAGTGTTCTGTCACCCTGCTAGGCAGTTTTTTTTATAGTCTGGCTAAGCTTTCTCAGATTGATTCTTCAAGAGGCCAATTCTGTTTGATGGAGAGTGTAGTTTTTGGGTTTTTGTATTTGAAACAGATTCTTCTGCTTACATAAATTTGTTTTTTGTACAGTCTGTTTTCTGTGACATCCCTGCAATGTGGAATCATTTTGAGAGGGAATGCTACCATGATTGCATATAACTCATGACAATGGAGTTCTTGGTGTCTAGAGATACTAATGGGTGTTATGAGCTTCTTATAATGAGATTTGAATGTGTTGTCAGTCAGTAAAACTATTCAAGGAGCTTTAGAACAGGAAAATGATTATTTATTTATTTTGCATAATGTTAGTATTCAAAGAACTTGGATCAGGTCATAATATTGAATAAATGATTACTGTCTTGTACCTCCTGATGTGGAAAGTTCCTGTCAAGTGTGCTGTTAGGTGATGAAAGTCACTTGACTCAGACTATGGGAAATCATTGTTAAGCTGCCCAAGAATATGAAAAACCAACTTTTCATATTTGGATAAATGTAGGATAAATGCACTGTAGAGATACAGCAAAAAATGTTAGAAAGCCAATTCTATGCCTGAGTAATTAGTGAAAGCGTGTCTTTCTGGTGATCCCAGACTCCTAAAACTAATTCTGAGCATACATGACTTTTAGCATAAGCTTTACATAGGTAATTGATAGTCCTCAAATTAAATGTGAACTATTCATGGTGCTTGAGATTATGTAACTAGCTTCTTCTAGGTATTTCTTATCAATTCTTTATTACTTCTACTGTCATGTTGTCTAGTTATGAATATAGGCCTGTTTTTTTTTTTTTAATTGATTGGCATGAGACAATAACAAATATAAGCAAGGTTACATATATATATATGTATAATATCCAACATATAAATGACATTTCTAAATTATCAGAAAATAAATCTAAGTGACAGCCTGTAACATTTTTAGTCATTGGAGAGGGTCAGCCTTTTCCTGTTGCTATAACTTAATGATGAAGTGTTTCTGATTTTGTAGGGAATAAGTCTCTAATTTAGTGGCTTACCGTATTTGTGCACCTCTGTTTGAAAAAAAGGCTTGTAGAAAAGTTGGCAGTTTTTTTTTGAAATGAATTTTCTTTCATTTCCACAGAGATCATCTAATATGGAAGAAACGACATTAATGCTGGGTTAAAAGTACATAAATATTTTGTACTTGGCAACCAGGTACAAACATGAACCATTATATACTGCTACCATGCTTTCTGTGTGTTCAGAGCTCTGACAACATTAATTCTGAAAGAAAAGTCATTAAACCATTATGTACTGAAATGGTTGAATTTCTATTTTTAATCCTTTTCTGTAGAATTATAATGTTTCTTGAGACCTTTTTCTGTAACAGGTCCTTTGGAAAATAAATACGTAAGGGTAAAAGAAGGAAAGAAGAGAAATCTTAAATTACATGTCAGAAATGTGACATACTCTATTAGAGTGACAGACGGTAAGTAAAAACTTCATTTTGTTGTATATTCACTTTTGCATGTGTGGTATTGCCACTGAAAACACATTGGATTAAATCTGCAATTGCAAGGAAGGTGCTTCATGTGTTATATCTGTTAAAGGTACTCTGTGATCTCAGGAGCAGCAGCTGCATCTTTGATTGAGGATCAGTGCCTATTGGTGCAACTTTGTAATGAATTCAGAACGTTATTCATCTTGCAGCTGGGAAGGTACTTGTTGCACCAGTGGGGTGTGGGGCTGGAGAGGGTACTGTGAAGTTTTTAGCCTATGTGGTAAGTCTGCGTTTCTACCATTGTTATCCTTTCTGAGTGCCAAATGGTTTTTAAATCATTTGTTCTAAAATGCTGTATAACTGGCATCTGGAACCTGGTCTAGTACCTGAGCTGGAGGTTGGTGGCCTTGTCTGTGGCAGGGATGTTGGAACTTGATGATTCCTGGGGTCCCTTCCGACCCAAGCCATTCTGTGTAGCCCATTCAGGCAGGGGGGCCCTAAAACCTTCAGTTTGCTAGTTTTTATGTGACAGAGGGTTTCAAGTTCACATTCACAAGGTGTAATTTTAGACACCTGACTTCCATTCA